TCATTATCAATCACGATCCTATGCGGAACGGAATTTTCTCTCCCATCGGGTAATGTAAAATTATCCGTCTCCATGGTTTCGGATGAGTCATCACCTCTATCTCATTTATTATTCCACTAATTGGTCCGGTCCTCTAGACTAGACCTCAAATATTCCCCTAGGTCAGGTCCTCTGGTCCGGTCCTACATTATCCGAAGGTTTGTGATGCACTAGTTTCTTCTTGAGTTTTCCTTCAATACAGACACGGCAGTGCCTTTCAAATTCGGGGCGAGCCCGCGCAAATTCAACAGCAGCTTTGAAATGTCCTGGTAGTACCGTGTGACGAATAGGACCGACTATGGCAACTAGAGTGTATTCACAAGACGGTTTGCCAAATGCTGTGGTACCATGGCGTAGGAACGTGGTGGTTTGTTGTGTATGATGTATGGTTATTTTTGTATATGGCGTATAAACAAAAGCCACCATAGTGCACGAGGTCGAAGAGGCACACAAATTGCAACTGTTGTACCAGTCGATGTATTAAATTTGAGTAAATCGGAAATGTCTGACCATCTGGGATTCCCGTAAGCTTCTTCGAATATAGGTTAACTTTCCGAAGTCATCGACGAGTCCTCCTTCGAGCCCGGCAAGATAACGTAGTTGTGCATTTTTGTGCGATACACAGAGGTCGATGGTGGGGGTACAGTAGTCCAGAAATTTCATAGTTTTGCGAAATTCGTCACGATGTAACATCCATACCTCACAGTGAACGTGAGGACGAGGTCGATTGGTCAAAGTGATATTGTCTTTTGAAAGTGGTGGCATGACTACGATGACCATTGGTCCGATGGTAATGTCATATTGATTTTGGTAGCAGGGGTAGAGTTGCTCATATTGGTCGAAGAGTGAAATAGAGTGATTTGAGTAGTGACCGGAGCAGAAATTGTGTTGCTGTGACGACATTAGGAAGAGCTCAACGAAACGCTGGTCCAGCAAGAAGATCGCAGCAATGGCCCAGCGCCAATACTACTACCAAGGCAAACCGCCAACCTCATATCGGGACAAAGCCAGACACGACAGCTTCAACCGCTGCTTTGAGCCTCCGCCAATCCGGCTCTGTGCTATGATTGTAACGAATACGTACATGTTCACATTATTGGCTGCCCTGGTGGCTACAAATTCACCACCAGTAAGTTTGACTGCATTCAACAACTGATCCGACGCATCCTGGTAGGCGCAAAACTCTGGCAGGCGCAAAACTGCCTCTCATTGGCCCTGACCTCCTCCAGGGAATACAGAAGCGCCACGACTTCCACGGTATCTGGATCCTCCACGAACACCTTGTATCCTTTCTCCAGCACGTAGAACAACTTCCGTACCCCCACGCCGATCTAGGCCAACCAGCACCTACCGAGTGCAATCCATGGTCTGGTGCGGCATCGGCTCACCCCCAACCTCGCTCCCCAACCGAATTATGACGGATAACCTAGTCCTACTCGGCATTTCGTACTCTGCAGTAACCCATTCCACGGCACTACACGGTGCAGACCCAATCCGTCCACAAAGGCGGGTACGCTACTTAGTAGGTCAGCAAGCTATTACGTGGCACACTCGATGGTGTCAGTTTTTTATCAGCTCCGGCCTGAATTGACCCAGCACATATCCTCCATCGTCGACTCACTTGGCCCAAGCTTCAAACGGAAATTTACTGACCACTTCTCCCCATCGATCGTCCCCGAAGCACTACAACGGCTATGAGAGCCATACAATATGTACATACATTGTAACTTATCTACTTTAAATTTTTATCCCAATGGTGTTGCGATGTGTCTGATTGGTTAGCAATATATACATTTGGAGTAGGCAATGTAGGAAAGAATGAAATCTGAGTCAATAGGTTCATGGTCTGGGGCAGGTGTGCCGTTGATCCCGTTGTGTTGTGACTACAAGTGCTGTGGACATCTCAGACGAAGTTGTAGCTGCTTCGTTGCCATGGTGACTGTCAGTGAGTAATTTGCACTGTAGGAGACGATAATTGTGGACAAAGTACCCTAGGCGGATATTTAGGACCGGACCTGAGGACCGGACCTGAGAGAGGAATTTAAAACCGGACTAGAGGACCAGACCTAGGGGAATATTTCCACGGCACTACACGGTGCAAACCTAATCCGTCCACAAAGGCGGGTACGCTACTTAGTAGGTCAGCAAGCGAAAATGTGGCACACTCGATGGTATCAGTTTCTTATCAGCTCCGGCCTGAATTGACCCAGCGCATATACTCCATCGTCGACTCACTTGGCCCGAGCTTCAAACGGGAATTTACTGACCACTTCTCCCCATCGATCGTCCCCGGAGCACTACAACGGCTATGAGAGCCATACAATATGTACAAATATTGTAACTTATATTCTTTAAAATAAATAATATTATCCCAATGGAGTTGCGACGATAATTGTGGACAAAGTACCCTAGGCGGATGTTTAGGACCGGATCTGAGGACCGGACCTGAGAGAGGAATTTAGGACCGGACCAGAGGACCGGACCTAGGCAAATTCTCTATTCTACTAATTGGTCCGGTCCAGATTAAACACTCTTTACTAAGCATAACTCGGTTTTGACCACATAATTGTTAAAGTTGCCTGTCTGGAAACCGTGAGTGCGAATTGTGACAAACGTGACGAATCGGACGGTCAGGAGGATAGGAGAAAGTATAGCCATTATCTTGCAGGCGATTTTGAGAGACGATCTGCTGATCGAGTGTGGGACTGAGCTATGTGAGGCTCCGACATAAAGAATACTTCTCTAGTGAGTAGGTGGCGTATAGTAGAGTCACCATCAATGAGAAAATCACTTGAAGGTGAATTTCAAGATGTGTTTATACGAGCAATATACGCTAAATAGTTGGTATTGAATCCTGATTGATTGACAACTCGTTTGGAGCAATATTTCAATTATGTCCCTTGATGGAGCAGTTCTTGCAGGTTAGAGAACCCATCACAATCAACATTGCGATGACCCTTTGCCCTGCAGGGACGACGATCACATCACGGTCGCGAGTAGGATGATTGCGAGCAAGAAATTTATCCATAGTTTTCAAGCGGAATACAAAACCATTGTAAGACAACACAGGCTTAAATGAACGATCGGTGGCTGGCTGTCTTAGCGCAAATGAAAAAGACAGTCTCAGGTGCAGCAAGAGAGTGATTGGTCTGCTTCCAAGGTTCAATTCATTCGCAGATGTCGGTGGTAGAAACATAGTTACGGTTATTATTATGTAAAAACTGTCGGGCCTGATGTTGAGATTGTAACTAAGGCCGGAGATAAATTCATCTTGAATAAATGGATTAGTTAATAGGTTGTCTTGGCGAACTGTGTCTGTCGCGCTTAAAATGAGTGTATCGGTGGGACCAGACACGCATTGATGTTTCGTGGGTACGTTTGAACAGTTCAATATATTAAAGTGTAATTGGTTTGGCGGACCAGTACATTTAAACAGTTCAAGATATTCGTGTGTGATTGGTTTGGAGATGTCAGCGGACCGGTGAAAGAACATGACGCAAAGAATTTGGAACTCAGACATGAGTTCTTCAGCTTCAAGGGAGTAGCGAAGTTCAGTTGTCATTGAGTTGAAGAAGACGTGGCGGGCAGCATGGTATGATCCATCTTCTTTACTGGTAGTTCGAAAGTTTGTTGTTCGAAAATGGGAGGCATAGGGTATGTAGACGATCGTGTCCAGGAGCAACAACAGGTTAATCATCCTAGATAACTTGAAGATGAGAACAGGTAAAGAGTCATGGGCAACAACGAAGACATTGGAGAGCCACAGGTTGTGGTTGTGGCCATCAATGTCGAGTTGAGGCCATTTGTGGATAGAAGATATGGTAGTTGTATTATCCACATCCATGTTGAGAGAGCTTAATAGAGATAAATAAAGACTATAACCCAATAGACCAAGAAACCCCTTTTTGGAAAGACTATTGTTTATTATAGTTGGGACACAATTATATATTTTATTTGGAGAAGTAAACATACATTTGGATGTCACCGTCAAAAAATGAAGTTAATAAAAAACAAAAAAATATAATTTAATTATCGGTGATTATGTATGCAACAAGGTCTGGCCTTGGTGAGATAAGAATCGGTTATTCCTATCCGACAAAGGGGCGCAAACCAGAACAGAGGCCGTAGGCGAGGTTATGGTACCCCAACCCTAGGTTATCTGTTATAAATATTGATAAATGCCCTGGCGTTTTGTTTTTAAGTCTACTTCCAGTCTGGGTGGGTGGGATGGTTGCTGAAAACCTCAACTATCTCAAGGACCTACACTTTAATGATCAGTTTCCGACTGACTAGTCGATTCTTATGTGTGTGTGATTTGTAGTGTTGTTGTTTCCTCCTTTGTCTAATGCGTAAACTATCAACCTATCAAATCTTTAGATAAGTCTAAGTGTCTACTCCCTATTTTACTTCTGTGTTAATTGTGTTCATCACTAAAACAAAATAGTCCTTAATCATCAGTGACTATGTATGCAGCAAGGTCTGGCCTTGGTGAGATAGGAATGGGTTATTACTATCCGACAAAGGGGCGCAAACCAGAACAGAAGCCGCAGGCGAGATTATGGTACCCCAAAATCGCACGATCGTATACCAACACGCCAAATCCACGCTGGACGTGAGGGACCTATCTTGTGACCAACGGTGGGAGTGTGATGCACGGTAGCTCGAGTTCGCGTACGATCGTTAAGCCCTTTTGTTGAACAAAATTGGTGAGTACGCTGGCAACCCGGCTATGGTCGTGAGCAGAGCGCTTCCAGTAGATGTTGCACACGTTGGTAGTCCATCGCCCGAATATCATTGCTTTCGGTTGCGATATACCGGCT